GGTTGGGAGGAGCACTGGGTGTTATATGTAGGGGATGAATCACTGGATTCTACTCCTGAAATCATTATTGCACTATATGCTGACTCACTTGGATGTAAATTAAATAATAATCAATAAATAAATACTAAAAAAAAGGAAACTTACTTTAAGTACCAAAAAAAGCAACAACAACAAAAAACACCCAACTTAACTCTTGAAAAGAACTGGCTTTTGTATTACTTTCTACAGAACCCTCTCCCTTAAGCAGGGAAAATGGCTATTTTTTTCTCCAAGCCCAGCTTTTTCTGAATTTTATAGAGACTTCAACTATTTGAGATGTTGTTTGGCATCTGTGGGATTAGTGAATCCAAATGAAAATGAAGAAACTGCTGTCTGGTTTTAAAAAGTGAAATGTATTTCACTCAGAGGAAGATATTATTTTAAAGGTTTTCGTTTTGACACGCATATGAGGGTTGAATAATAGAATGTATATTCCCAAATGATACCCAGATACCTTTGGGGATGATAGAAGAAACAGTACTAATTTTCAAAACGAGTTTTAAAAGTCAAGTTCAAGAATCTGGAAATGAGTGCCACGGAACTGTAGAAAAAGTCGTAGTACTCACATGCTGGGTTTGTCACCTACATAGCAGAAAGTGTTTTGTAAGTGTTAGTCCTTAAAATACTTCGTTACACTGTATTTTCATTTCATTTCAACAAACATTTGCTGAGAGCCTGCTGTGTGCTGCTCCCAAGGGAGAATAACATGGAGACCTTCGCGGAAGTTTGATGGAAGATAGACTGGCGAGGGATGATTATAGGATTTTGCAGGCCAAGGCCAGGGCCAAGTGCTACTGAGTACTTAGAGGAAAGAAAAGTTTGTTTTTCACAGGACGTCTATTTCAACTGGACATCGAACTGTCTGGTGGGTATTTGCCAGGGCAAAAGTGGGACCACACATTTTGTGCAGAGGGGAGAACAGAGATAAGGGCAGAGAAGCAGAAGAAGGCAGGGAACTGTGAGCTGTTCAATGTGCCTTGGGTGGGAGTGGCATGGTGACAGGAGATGATACCGGTGGGTGAGTGAGGGCCAGACTCTGGAATGCCGAGTTTTTCCCACTTGGGAGCTGGAACTCTGTGTTATATGGGAAGGGTTTTAAGCAGGACGGTGGCTTCATGCGGGGTAAGAAACCAGGGAGGTGGTGGACCTGCGGTGGAAAGACAGAAGTCAGACCATGTAGGAGACTCTTCAGCAAGTTTTCTAGGTGCTGGGGACACAGTGGTGGACACAATAGACAAAAATCCCATACTCTGTGGAGCACATCATTGCTGTAATTGAGACAACAAGAAGGGCTGGACCTAAGCTAGCAGGGACGGGGAGGAGGTAACAAGTGCCAGGACTTGGTGACCCATTAGACTCGGGATAAGAGGGAATGGAGAAACAAGAATGACTCCCACGGCCCTGCCTTATGTGATGAGGTTATTTCCATTTTCTGTATGTCAGCAAATCCCAAAATCAGAATACCATTTCTGGCAGAAAATGTGAAGCTTCTTTTTCCCCCTTGATAGGATACATACTTTGAATTCTTTTCCCAGGATGATGATGGTTCTGGTTGATGCAGTCGTGGGTTCTTAGTCCTTTGTGATCCCAAATCAGAATTTGCCGATAGCCACCTATTGTCTCTGGTCAAGAAATAAGATTTTCACTGTTTTAAAATTAATTTATCCATGTGGGGGTTGAACCTATGAATGCTTATTAAGCAACTTTGGAACATCAGACATACCGGGGTAAGGGCCTGGACTTATTCTGTATTATGCTCACTGGCCCAACATCCAGTGGGTGGACAGTACAAGGCAGATTTGTGCCCGATACAAAATGAGTTTCTGATGATACGAACCATCCTGTAATAGAACAGGCAGTTGCCTGCTAAAGTCATTGCACGTATTTTCTGTCATTGAAGTCTTTCCAGATTGCTCTATATGACCGTCTTCCATGGAAATCAAACAAGACATTCTTGCATCGAATGTCTGGACTGGATCATTTGTAAAGCCAACTCGTAAATGAAATTTAAGCTCGTGCCCATCATGCCCACAAAGTCAAGTCATTGCTATAATTACTTGACCTCTGGAATTAAAAATGATAATATATTTAAGAATTCAAATACCAGATCTTGGAATAAAATCTAGGAGATTTTGCCTTTGAACTTCCACCGTCCAGGTAGTTCGCCTTCTTCCTCATGGGTGGAATCTTGACAGATCCCGTGCTAAATTCATTTGCCCTTCTGTCATTAAATACCACCTTTGCTTAGAAATGACACATTTCAGAAAATAGTTACAAACTGAGAGGGATGGAGGCAAACCATAGGAGACTCGTAAATACAGAAAACAAACTGAGAGTTGATGGGGGTGCCAGGGAGAGGGAAAAATGGGTGATGGGCATTGAAGAGGGCACTTGTTGGGATGAGCACTGGGTGTCGTATGTAAACGATGAATCACGGGAATCTACCCCCAGAGCCAAGAGCACACTGTATCCACTGTATGTTAGCCAACTTGACAATAAGTTATATTAAAAAAAAAAAA